TCCAATGAGTAAGCTCAACCCCGAGTCTAATGTGTTATACCCATTAAGTAATTATGTGTCTACCAGTCACCTGTCAGAATCAAATAAGTCATTTGTGCATAAATTATCTACTGTATCTATTCCTAACTGTGTGCAGAAGGCTTTAGCTGATCCACGTTGGCAAGCAGCAATGAATAAAGAGTTGAAGTCTTTGAAGAAGAATGCTACCTGGGAGATCATAGACTTGCCAGCCAACAAGAAACCTGTGGGATGCAAATGGGTTTATATTGTGAAGTATAAAGCTGATGGGATGGTGGATTGCTTCAAGGCAAGATTGATAGCAAAAAGATACACTCAAAAAATATGGAATTGACTATACAAATACATTTGCTCCTGTAGCCAAGATCAACACAATTCGTGTTTTGTTGTCCTTGGCTGTAAATCTTGATTGGCCTTTACAGCAGTTCGATGTGAAGAAAGTCTTCTTGCATGGAGATTTGACAAAAGAGATTTATATGGATCTTCCACCTGGATGTAATGCTCCAGATAAATACAAAAGAAAGGTGTGCAGATTGAAGAAATCCTTGTATGGCTTGAAGCAGTCCTCTCAAGCATGGTTTGGAAGATTCACAAAATCTATGAGAACATTTGGTTACAGACAAAGTAACAGGTAATGATCCGGAAGAACGTGCGGGCTTGCAAAGATTCTTGTCTACATAATTTGAAATGAAAGACCTTGGATCCCTGAAATATTTTTTAGGCATTGAGATGTCAAGAAGCAGTTCTGGAATTTTCTTGTCTCAGAGAAAGTATATTATTGATTTGTTGCACGAAACTTGCATGTCAGCTTGTCAGCCAATAGCTACACCATTAGAAGAATGATTGAAGCTTAGTGTTGATCCTAATCAAGTACCAGTTGACAAAGGAAGATACCAAAGGTTAGTAGGCCATTTGATGTATTTGGCACACACAAGACCGAACCTTGCTTATGCCTTGAGTGTAGTGAGTCAATACATGCATGATCCTGGAGAACAACATATGAATGCCGTGATGAGAATATTGCAATATTTGAAAGGAAGTCCGGGCAAAGGAATTTTGTTTAAAAGGAATAATCACTTTAGTGTTGAAGGTAATACTGATGCAAACTGGGTAGGTTCCATTGACTATAGGCGCTCAACATTAGGTTACTTTACGTTTGTTGGGGGTAACTTGGTTACATGGAGAAGTAAGAAACAAAATGTGGTTGCCCGTTCCAGTGCAGAAGCCGAATACAGAGGTATGGCTTTGGGGATTTGTGAAATTTTGTGGCTTCAGCTTCTGTTAAGCTATTTGGGTATACAACATGATCAGCCCGTGAAATTATTTTGTGATAATAAAGATGTCTGTGACATTGCACACAATCTGGTACAACATGATAGAACAAAGCATGTTGAAGTTGACCGGTTCTTCATCAAAGAAAAATTGGAAGGAAAAATAATTGAAGTACCAGCGATAAGAACAGAAGATCAATTGGCAAATATCCTCACAAAAGATGTTTCAAGTCAAAAGTTTTCAAGTTTCTTACACAAGTTGGGCATGAGCGACATATATGCACCAACTTAAGGGGGAATGTTGACTTTTGTATTTTAGGTAGGATCCCTAATTGATATGTAATCCTGTGTATTCTCATGTAATCACTTGTAATTAGTTCTCTTTCCATTTATGTTAGGGTTGTACATCTATAAGAACCTCTTATTGAGAAGAATATATATAACTATTCAAAGCATTATGTTCTATAACCACTCAAAACCCGTCTAATTATTCAAAGCTCATCCTTCATGCTCAAGTACTCTCCAATATCAGTTTGGTGAAGCACCACAATTCCATTGGGTGACGGTGAAAAATTAAAGAGACAATATAAAAAATTAAAAATATCTGATGGCTGAGATTCTGAGGGAGAACTGAACAAGGATGAATAGGTGAAAGAATAGCAAGGATAAGTTTAATTTGGATATGGGTATTCCCATATTGGACAATGAATATCAAAGTTAATTTTCGGGCTAGATTGGAGGTTTCAATCTTTTTCTTCTTGGACAACGATTCAAAACTGAAGAAATAAAAAAGGACGGCCCCACTGTCACATCCTAGTCTCGACTGCGCCGTAGCACGATATTGTCCGCTTTGGGCCCCGGCCACGCCCTCACAGTTTTGTTTTTGGGAACTCACACGAGGACTTCCCAGTGGGTCACCCATCTTGGGATTATTCTCGTCCGAACTCACTTAACTTCGGAGTTCCAATGGAACCCAAAGCTAGTGAGTTCCCAAAAGGCCTTATGCTATATGGAGACATGCATGTACATATAAGGCACATCACCCCCTCTCCGTTGGTCGATGTGGGATGTTACACCCTCACAATCTTCGTCTTCTCAGACGGAGAAGATGATTGATTCGTTGTTCGACTTCATCGTTCATCCCTTCGAGTTCGACACAAAAAGAGACTGACTTCATCGTTCGTCCCTTCGAGTTTGACAGAGAGAGAGATTAAGAATCAAGAGGGATGAGAGTTAGTTTGGACTTTGGGAAAAAGAGATCGAGAGGGAGAAAATCGAGATACAGAGAAGACTAAAGAGAGAAGATTCGGTCTGAGTTTGGGAGAGTATTTGAGAAAGTAAACTGATTGAGGTTAGGTTAGGCTTGGTGACACATGTCTGTTTACAAGTTCAATGGATACGGTCCGGGCCGGGGGCCTGTGTCTTTAGAAATTTGAATCCTTCCCGCCCCGCTGTTTACTTGGAACTGACCCGCCCTGCCCCATTCTGTATATAAATAATATGGACCCGCCCCGAACCATTAGTACTCGTCCCTACCCCCTGGCCCAGGGCCCGTTTGCCCACCCCTAGTCGGTAATGTTTGATGGGATCGGATTGCATGACTAGAATCTCCTGATACTCTGCTGATGTGATACAGATGCAATAAGCTTGACATTAACTTTGTTGACGTATCATGTTTTGGTCTGATTGATACATCTAGCATAGTCTTCACGGGTTCGTCGGGACTCAACAATGGATGAAAATAGCAAGTACTTTGAATATGCTAAACAAGAACTCTTAATCATGTCCCATGTATGGCGCAGTAAAGGTGAGTTTTGGAACGATTCGAAGATTTCGTAACTAATGTCTATATTGTGGACCTCCATGATATTGCAGTATCCATAACGGTAAAGATATAACCATTTTGAGAAGGTGCCTTGTGCGGATTTGATAAAGCAACATGTGTCAACATAAAAAACAAGGCAAGCATCATTCTGAGGATCATGGGGTTGGATCCATTCAAGATGCCCAGGGATAAGCCTAAATTCGTTGTATCTTTAGGGTAGCGGAAAAAACATTTTTAATACCAATTCAATGGTTGCTTGTAGGTGTAATGCTGCATCTTTACCAATAGATCAACAACGAAGGAAATGTTTTGTCTAATGCAATGAGCTAAGTACAAAAAAGCTCAAAGTTGAACTTAGGTATGGAACTTCGGATTCCATAACCTCTTTACGAATCTCATTTGCATATAGTGTATGGAAGATCATAGGTATACTTGAATAGGTAAAACCTTTGGGGTATAGTTTGACAGGTTGATGAAAATACCTTCAGAACAACCTTGAACTTTAGGTCAAGGCATTAATTAGTTCTTTCAAGAGCCTTCATCTCAAATTTCATCTTCAGGTGCAAGGTAGTTTTCTCAAGCTCTTCAAGAGTCTTATTGAGATTCATGTCATCAACATAAACAGCAACTTTAGCAATTCGAAATATAACTTCTCAATTTAACACGTAAAGGCATAATTTCATATCCCTGACTGGTCAAATAATCACTTAGACAGGTATACCACATCCGTTCGGATTGTTTCAATCTGTAAAATGAACACCTTAAACAAGTTGAAAGAGTGTTATGTGGTCTGGAACTACTTGAACCAGTCCATGTAATTCTTCAGGAACTCATATGTAAATCTTCGTATCAATATCCCCATGGAGAAACACTAACAATATTCGTAATGCTACATTCAATCACAGAGCATTTGAGAGAAGCCTTGCACCATAAGGTGTGCATTACCTTGCACTATCTCATTAATCTCATTATGCTTCCTTTCCCACTTGTAACACAACATGGTTACCTTGCTAGTGTTGGAACGCATGTCCAAACACACTTTTGTAAGGAATTAAACTTGGATTGTAATTTCAGTGGTCTAAATAGTTTTACATTGTAACTAATCAATGAAACACTATACGATATCCTCGCTTTTCATTTATGTCAGTAGCTACCATATAAGTGAAGACAACATTGACAATAATCTCATTCGAATTCCATATCTCATCCAAACTAGTATACTGGACCAAGAACTTCCAAGTCTTGGGCATAATCTAGATTCATCTCATGAGATAGAAATTGTTGAGACATCGATCCAGTATGGATTCATTTTATGATGTGTTCTTTCTCTTCTGGGGAAATGAGTCTTACGAACCGAGTGATTTGTCGTGCTCCAGGTTAAGACCGATTGATTGGCTATCCAATGCATTGAATCACATTCAACACAAAAAAAGTAAATTAAATAACTAAAAGTGTATTAATCTAATAAATAAAAAGCTAATCAAAATTATAATGATTCGAACGTAATAATTTCATGAAAGATGAACAAACTCTATTTTTCGCAGCATCAAAAGCGTCTTGATAACTTATTGTAGGGCCTTTTGACTGAAGAATTATAGAGAGATTTAGAGAAGTGTGCGGCAAGCATAGAGAGAATAGAGTGAATTCTGAGGTGTGTTTTCTCACCCCCATTGTGCCTTTATTTATAGTAGTAGGAAAGGTAAATTATTGCCTTTAGGTATTACAACTTAAACAGAATACTATCTAAAAAATATGACAAAATCCCACAAGGATTACACAATTGCATTACTACAATAATTAGGACTGCAACAATACGTATATTATCAAAAGTTTTATAAACTTGAGAATATATTAGTCTACGAAGAGAGACTCACAAGACCCCCATCTGAAACATACCCCATTTATTGAATTACTCGGGTCACATTGTAAATTGATCATTTCTCACAATAAAAATCATTAAAAACTTCAACTCTATGTCTGCATCAATTTGACAAAAGCTGCAGCATGGTACTACTCCTCTTTAGCTTGACCTTTTCGTGATGGAGTGGTCTTAACTCCGTTTTGTTTCGGCAACTTTGTGTATTCGATGAAAATATGGATGATGAGCATAATGGTAAGAAAAGAAGCTGTTAACAAGCCCACCCCTCCCCATGTGTATAAAAGAGAGAACTTTTGGAACAGCTCGAAAATCGCAAGGCAGAGTGTACAAAAACTGCTCGTATACGCCTGTTACAAGAGAGAGAGAGAGAGAGAGAGAGAGAGAGAGAGAGAGAGAGAGAGAGAGAGAGAGAGAGAGAGAGAGAGAGAGAGAGAGAGAGAGAGAGAACTTTTTCAGAAAAAATAATACAAATTTATTACAAGGAAGGGAAATAGTAGAGAATAACTTACGAGCAATGCCTTAATAGATCGACCAGTGTCATGAATTTCTTGGCCGGGAAAGGTACCCTCAGCTTTAAACTTGTCCAACAAGGAATCCTTGTATAAAACAGAAAACACAAAACTTATATGTTTAGAAAGAGCAAAGAAAACTAATCATTTGTTTGTATCTTTGATAAATATATATATATATAAAGCAAATTGAGGGTCTTTGGGATTTAAAACCTCAACATATTAAATTACAAACAAAACGTTTATGCTTTTCTTTCTCTTAGAATTTTAGGAGCAACTAATTTCTTTGAGGTCGCAAAATATTTCCAATACCAAAATTGGGTCAATTAACATTTTCTGCTTTCAAAGAGAGGTCAATGAAGATAAATTTTAGCACGATATATGATCATAGTTGGAAAGAACAATTGTTTTCATTGTCCTAGGAAAAGTGATTCTGTTAACCTATATTAGAAAATGAAATGTCGATTAACTTAGGCTGATAAATGAAATTACTTACGGACTTTTAAACGCGAATCTACTGCTTTTTGTTTAAGGAAAACTAATGAAAATGGCTTGAAAACTTTGAGTTTTAATGATAAGGACAAAATAAAGGGTAAAGTGAATAGTACCAGGATTGACTTTTTAGTGTAAAAATATGGTTTTTCATTAAAGTGAACAGTACCGGGTGCTTTTCGTTAAAGTTCCCTTTTGTTTATTTGTTGTAAGTTTATTCTCATCTTTAGACTTAATATTTATTTTCTTAGTTTTTATTTTTCATTCTTTAATTATTTATATTTGCACGGATTATTTTTATCTTACTTTCCCTTAGTTGTAGTGAAAGAAAAAAAATCTTAATAAGGGCCACTGTTAGGTTATTTGGAAATCTAAGTCCCAAGGCCTTTTGCTTTATATTTCATGGTGTGCATTGGAATTTTTCTAGTTGTGATGTATATTTATTATACTTTTACCTAAGAGTGACACTTAAAATTCTAAACACCGCGCGAGTAGTGTGTTTGTGTATAGTTACAGGGTTTGTTTTTCGGAACTTGCATACTAAAAATGAAGATATTTATATACATATATGCTAAAGTAGGTAGGGTATAAGTATGAAGTAAGTTTATACATATACGAACATATGTGTGTTATAATGCTCAAAGTTCATGCGTACCTTGGCCACAAATCTATCTCTGCACCATTGGGCAATGCCCTCGTCTGATTCTGGCAATTCAGTCATTGAGTATCGCTTTACATGTACATTGACCTAAATTTTATGTAAAGACTTAGTACTAAGGAAAGAAAACCAACAATAAATATAAGTGAAAAATAGAAATTACACGGATGGGCAGCTGAAATTTATTTATTTATCTCGATCCAGCATTACTTGTTTTCACCAGAAATTACTATGTGACTAATCAACTAATGTGCACGCAAGTACTTCTAAGGGCTCGTTTGAAAGTACTTTTAAAATAGCTAAAAGCAATTTTAGTAAAAATATTTTTGGAACCACTTCTTAATTAGTAAAAATGCAAGTGAGTTCTGCAAAAACACTTGAAGTGCTTTCCAGAAGAAGCACATAACTGGTGCTTCTTCCAACTTCAAACACTTTTGGAATCTAACAATATTTTCTCTAAAAATGCTTTCAGTCATTTTAAAAACACTTTCAAACGAATTTTAGCAAAGGCAATTAAAAGTGTTTTATTTAAATGTTTGAAAATTCTTTTAGTCATCTAAAAACAATCCCAAACAGACACTATATATTACCCGAATTGAGTGGTGGCGTCAAAAAGTCCATAGTTGTGGTGATGGTCATGGAGGTGGTCCCCAAGTCCCATTGTATTAAAATTAAAATTCACGCGACACAAATTTCTCCACTCATGTGCATAGGACATTCTTTCATGTAATCGGTAATTTATCAAAGTATTTATCTCTCACAACAAGCGAGTCGGTGTTAAAGATAGAGTTGCACTCAAAATTTACCGATACGCAAGACTGCAACAGTATGAATAAGAAATTGTTTATTTATTTAATATCACTAAATAAAACTTCTAATTTTTCAATTAGAAAAAAACCGTAAATAATTTGTAGTGGATTTAAAACTTATTGGAACTCCATGGTTTACCACTGTATGTTGCCTCTCCATTAGCATATATAGTGAAGGAGTAGAATGTCCTTCCGGAACAGCGAGAGTAACATCATAGATTGCAGGGACAAACGAGCGCAAATTTTTTACTGCTGTAACAAAACCCTGAGAGTAACAAATGATCGCTAATCAAATTCAAAAGGGGAAATGCTAGAATATTTTCCTTTTAGTGTAAGTGTTTTTTTTAGTTGACATTTTTGCATGGAATTTTACGTACCTTAGTCCTAGGAATCATGACATTTCTAGGGATAGGCAATTTTCTAGAAGCAGCAAACTCTCGAGCTGCAGAAAGCTTGTCTGGACTCATGCGTGTTCCTTCCGCAAAAATGGTAAGCCAAAAAGGCATGGTAAAATCCTTTAACCTCTGTAAACTTGCCTGCACCATCACCAAATTTACTCAACTGCATGCAAGAGTGCGTATAGTGAAACTTTTTTTATCGAAAGGTTTATGAGAAATTTTACAAGCACGTCCATATTTAATAATGGCCGCATTGTTGATCACATCTCTTATAGAACGAAGGTAATTAATAAGTCTTATATGGATCTGTTTGGATCAAAACTTAAACTTTGGGCTCGGGGGAAGTTGGCCCAAAGAGCAGCCTAAAAGGAAGAAGCCCAGTCAAGGCCAGTCAAAACCCAGCCGAAGTCCAGAAGACAGGAGAAGCCCGTTTCTGACTAGGTGCAGGCCATGCAGACTACTTGCTCACCTACCCAATGGCCAAGTGGTATAGACCAGCCAGCTAATCAGCCCAAAAAGTACTTTTAAATGACAGTACAAGTAAATAGCTGATGAGTCACTATCCTTCAAACTGCATTCGGGCAAGATTATTGCTACAGGAGGCCAAGCCAAGGTGTTTATAAAAGGAGAAAGAGAAGTCAGAATCAAGGACACTCAAACAAACAAACAAAAGCACAAACTCTGCTCAAAGCCAGATTTGCCTTCAAAACGAAGCTGTAGTCAGCCCAAGCCTTCATCCCTTTCAGGATAAACCTTTTGTAATAGCTCTGCTACCCTGCTCAAAGCCTACTGTAGTATCGATTTTCTTTCTGCAAAATCATTTCCCAACCCCTTTTCTAAGCCTTCAAACCTTCTGTTAACCCACAAAGATAGGAAGTTGCAAGACGATCAGCCTTGCCCGACAAGGTTAAACCTTGCCCGACCTGCTTTGGTTTTGTCTTTTTCATTCATTAGCCTAGCAATATGTTGTATACTTCAAGTTGTATCCAAGTTATTTGTAGTAATATGGCTATTAAAAGACTCTCTCAGCACTTGAATCCGATTTGAATATGTCTTCACAGTTCAAGCCAGATCTAAGTTCTAAGCCTTCGGAAATATAAGATTTGATCACCCTAAAAGTCCTTGGCCTCAAGGCATAAAAAAGAACCTGATGTGGACTTAACCCATCCATTACAAGCTTTGATAACAAGAAGTCCGAAGTTATTTGGGGCACAAGTAATCGACCTGCCACTTGGTTTTATTTATGTTATATTATGATGACCATATAACGTTCGAGTACAAGATGAATTCTGATGGGAAGCCTCAAGGCCTATTCAAGGCCCCACAAAGGCACCTATTTGGATTCATCCTATTTCTCGGGCAAGAACGTTCGAGTACGGGATAAATTCTGATGGGAAGCCTCAAGGCCTATTCAAGGCCCCACAAAGGCACCTATTTGGATTCATCCTATTTCTCGGGCAAGAACATTGAGTATAGAAGGGGTTCTGATGGGAAGTCTCAATGCCCATTCAAGGCCCCACAAAGGCACCTATTTGGATTCATTCTGCTCTTTGAGCTCAAGTAATCAGAAGTATGATGGTTATAAGACCCATATAACACACAAAAGGAACCTTATGTGTTTGAGTACTAAGTTAGTTATTTATGGGAAGCCTCAAGGCCTACACCTAAGGCCCCACAAAGGCACCTGTCAATAACTAACATAGTCTCTCGAATATATATAATTAAAACTCAAACATCCGTTCTACATCTACCATGCTGAAGATGGTAGTGGCACGCCTGAGCAATTCAAAGTTAATCTTGATCGTGAACCTCAAGGCCTACATTCAAGGCCCCACAAAGGCACCTTTCAAAGTTAACTATGTCCTTCTCTTTCAGCCTTGCTCGACAAGCCTTGCCCTACAGGCTTTACCCGACAAGCCCGCCAGTAAAGCAGAAGCCCGACAGAAAGCATCAACCGGCGCCAACCTCTCAGAGAGCTGTGTGCTCGTCGACCAGGAAGCATTTCCCACGGAAATTTCCGCCACGAACAGGATCCCATCTATGAGGCTGCGAGAAATTGCGGTATAAATAATTTCATTTCGAAAAATTGTACCTTTAGGTTGCTTTCATCTTTTTCCCAGCTTCTATCGAGGAAAACGAACTCTAGGAACCAAGAAGTCCACCCAAAAACCTGCACAAACTAGTTGCAATTAATATATATTTAAATTCTTTAAACCTTGATGAATTTTCCTTTCCTATTTGATGCTGCTTTATACTTGTTGAAGGGATTGAAAACTTTGCTCCATTTTGGAAGTGATATTGAAATATATAAACAAAATGTTAATTACGTACATCTACACTAAACCCTAGAAAAAGCAAGCACACTAGCTAGTTAAGATGATTATATAGTGTCTGCCTCAGAAACTCACAGGAAGGTATTTTGAAGATTTCTTGACAACCATAAGCGCACTACGAAGGCAACCCGAGCGCTGTAGGAAGCAATATCCACATTAAATTAGGGTTCTATAAGAAAATTTAGCAGGTTGCAACTGATAAGGTTGCACACTATAAGAAAGTTGCTAGCTGACATTTTTAGCTATTTCCAGTTAACAAGCAAAAAGCTACAATATCGTACATTAGCTAAAAGCAACCCCATCAGTATATCAGCATCACAGATGTGGTTTGGCATGAGCAACGCATGCTCCTTACCTGTAAATTTCTCTAACTTAATAATTTTTCGAAATTGAAATATATTAACAAAGAATATCTCAGAAATGAAATATGGATAGTACTTGTGTTCCCTCTTGGGGGATGATTCATTTTCTTACGTGCAAATAACGTATTTTCACCATAGAAATTTTATAATTGGAATCGTTCAATTTCTTAAGGTTCATTTGAAGATCATCCCTACAAAATCATTCTAATCGGAATTCGTTTAGTTATTCAAATGCACCAAATAAATGGAGGTTTCATCATGAATATGTTACTTGGTCCTTACACTGTTGATTTATTGGATACATTTGAATGACTAAACGAACTCTTATTCGAATGATTTTCGTAGGGATGATGTTCAAATGAAGCTTAAGAAATTGAACAGTTTCAATAATGAAGTTTCTATGGTGATGATATGTTATTTGCAAGTGGAGAAATAGGCTCATCCCCCAAAGGGGGGAATGCAAGCATTATCCATAAAGTAATACATTCTCGTTACCCATTAGTCGATAAGTTTCCAAATCTGTGTACAACTTAACCTGAAATCAAAAGTCCGTATTTATTAGTCAAAAGAATGAGTAGTAGTACTAACGTATGGTAGCTCCAAAGTATTAGATACGCGAGGTTGTAAGTGCATGTAATGCACGAAGGAAAAAAAACTGACCATATGTAGAATTAACCTTTGTTATATATAGGTCTACAACAAGTGATGCAAATTTGCGTATACCTTAAGGCCTCCCCACCACTCCATGAGCCAAATGAGATCCAACCATAAGAATGATGCAACTGCTCCATTGATCTGTCTAAACGCACTCTTCGACAAAGGCCGAATGGTGAGGAAGCAAATCGCCTAAATGTAAAGTATGATTAGTTATGCCACCTTACGCATCACAACTATTATAGTGTAGAAAGGATTTAAACGACTATTTTAGGGTAGAATAAGGACCTGGATAAGATTAATAGCTAGACCAAAGAGAAGAAAGGTCAGTCCAAAAGGAATTGAGAACAATACAGCTCTAACCTCCATGGCCACACACGCACAATTCCTACAATTGCAGGCAGATAAGAGACAGAGAGCGAAGGCGGAGTGAAGAGATCGAGGGTCCTATAAAAGGAAAAGAAGGATACTTGTAGGTATGAATATGTAAGCTGTTATTTCTGTTTATCGGCAAATATGACACATTCAGAATTTATATACTCATCTTTTTTTACTTATTCTGTCTGAAAAAAAAAAAAAGTGGTTTCACCTGTAAAACTATTATTTATTTATTTTTTTTTTAACACAATATATTCTATACTAAGGGTGTGGGCGAGTTTTATACTAAAGAGGCCGGGGAGTGGACTAAACCTTTTAATGAGTTAGCAATAATTGTTCAAATTCGCCTTTAACGAGAATTGAACATAAAACCTCACTTACAAGTAAAGGAAAAAATATCACTAAACCATAGTACTAAGTGGCTATTGATTCAAAAGTAACTATTTAAAATCACATTTTTACACTAAAAAGTCAATCCTAGTACTATTCACTTTACCTTTTATTTTGTCCTTATCGTTAAAACTCAAAGTTTTCGAACATTTTTCATTAGTTTTCCTTATTTTGTAAGGTGGGTTGGCAAGGACCTCACGTAACCTAGTCTATTGGCTTGGTACAGTTCAATTTCTTTTATGAATTTAGGTACAGTAATTAACTCAATATAATTGTAAACTTTTTGGGACGTACCTATAACTATAAAAATGTCGTGCGATCGGGCTGGACGTACCAAAAAATCTAGCTTGCACTAGGGTTTGCGATCCCTACATCAAGGAGCACTGTTCTAAAAATATAGGCGGCGCTATAAGTTGGTCACCGCGCTGATTAGTTCTTAGACATTTAAAAATTAAGAAAGTATGCTTAAACCCGTTGACGTGTCCACCTAGCCTGCCTAAACCTGCATAAGCGTCCATCTAAATCCACCTAGGCACCTGTATAGATCGGGATTCTCACTTAAACAAAAAATCGATAACTTTTATTTTGGAATTCTATTTTTCAATAAAATGTAAGAGACTTGTTGAATACTTGGATGAACACTCATTATATACTTATTCCCCATATTTTCAATATGTTTTAATACTTTATAATATATATGTTATTTTATTTTACAATTTATGTATACAATTATGTGTCTTTTAAATATAAATTGGCACTTATTTTACAATATATAATAAATTTACTTAAATTTGCCTAGATCTCACCTAACTGTCTAGGCGCTAAGTCCCAGTTCACCATCCTACTAGTGTCTAACGTCTTTTAGAACTTTGATGAGTTGCACCGACTTTGACATAAAATATTGTTAGGCAATTTGGTAACTAGGTTATAGCATACCATGATGATACCCACTGCTGTATCGTATTAAACAGCACCAAAAGATTTAATTTTTCTGGTAATTTTGCGTGCTGGAGTTACTGTGCATTAGGTAATTGGTCAAAATTAAAGTATTGTGGTCGGTAAATTTCGGTCAATTCGTAACTTGGTGACCATTTTCCCTTGGTGTGTAAATACATATTCCTATCCTTTTATATATAATCACGCTCAATAAATCATCCCGGATTCAATTATCAAATTTATCAAAGAGTAACCTAGTAATTATTATAAGAGTGACAATGGTTATCTGCTGTTAACAAGGGTTGATTGAGTTGGTAAAGATCATTCTCTTCATCATACCAAAGTTTAGATTTGAGTCTTGCTGCCGGCAATCTCTCTTGATGGGTGATTTGTAAAAAATCCAGAAAGGTACTAAGATCCCATCTTTAAGTCCTTAAAGAGGCTTGTTGTATGCCCTAACCCAGGATGGGGTAGCCCTCCCCACTCATTCGCTAATTGGAACCTAATGGATCGTACATCGAGTAACGATGAATGTGAAGAAATATCAATGAGATGGATAAGGAATTGAATAGTTTAATTGAGATTGGTCAAGATTAATTAATTAGTTAATTAATCATACGAAAGGTTTGTATTGGCTTTTTAAGTTAGTTTCGGGTTTTGGTCCACAAGGCACATAGAGTTTAAGTTGTATGACAACTAAAATGAAATGAGCAATATAACCTAACTAAAACGGCTAGGGTGGCCATGCTAAAAAATTAATTAGTTAAATGTTTTTTTTTTCAATTTGCAGAGGCTCGGATTGTCGGATTTGCAAATCGATTTCTATTGATCTCTACAAATCGATGACAAACTTGCAGATGCATCTTCCTGGCGGAATGCTTAACGGTCTCGAGAAGGATGCGACAGTCAAAGAAGAAAAGCTTAATGGTGGTGGGTTGGAGATCTATTGGAAGATGACTGAGGAAGTCGAAGCCTCAACACAATGATGATGCGAAGCGCTGGTCTTAGCAATCCCATCCTTTTTGCCCGGCCTCACCAAACCTAACTAGCGAAGAGTTTAGTCGGAACGAGTCCGAGTTAGTCCCATTAAACTCAGTCTTGGCTTGCACCAAATACGGATTAATATTCTTAGCCAAGCCAGTCTTGTCCAGTGAGGCTTAGTGAGTGCAAACAAACACGCCCTTAAAGAATTAACACCATGCAACACACCCAATCACTGAGAGATTTTTCAGTGTGACAGGAACACGGGATGATACACCATGTGTCACTATACAAATAGTGGGATATGGGTGTTAAAAAGTTAATAACTTAAAAAAATAAAAATTTTCACTATTTATATAAAAACACGTGGTGTATCACTCATGTTCCGATCACAATAAAAAATTTCTCCCCTATCACTAGTACTGTCATGATTATGACCACAATTCTTGAAGCATATGTCATTTGTGTCCTTGCAAACACAGGTTTTGTCATTATAGACACTCATTGTTTCTGAATCTCCTTTATAATGAGAAGGTATTTTCCTTTCTGTTATGTTTAGCATCCTTACAATACTTGTCAATATTGGAGAAAGTGGTAACCACGACATTACCATAGTTCCCGGCAGCTTGGTAATAAACATAAGTACCAAGTCCTAAGATAAAACTCGCAACTAGATTTCATGAACTGTGGTCTCAAAGCAAGCAAGCCAGAATTTCTACAACGCATAATAAATAATTTTCATAATTTGATGTTCCAATTCTTTATGGACATTACATAAAGCTAAACTTGTCCCTATACTAAATTGAATAATTAACATTAAGTCATATCATATCTCTCCGGAACTCTTTTATTGAAATGCTATTTAAGATGTAATGATATATTGGCACATCACTCACATTTAGAGTTGTCTGGAACTCTATATTTCTAGCCAATTAATGCCATGATAAATTTTTGAGCTTAACAACATGGTGAATCATGAATGACTTGATCTCATCTTAGGGTACGTAGACAATCTAATCTAAGGATTAGATGCAGCCATGAGATGAAACAAACGAAGGGACGCTACTTTGAACTAATGATTTGTTTTTGGTACTTCACATAGTGAGACTACTGGCCTTTTTGAGTAGGTGCCTTGCGTATATATGTTACTGAAGTACCGAGTCTAACTTGATTCTTACTTTGGCGTATAATTACGTCTTGACATCGTGTATCGATCCTTAACGTATCTCAGAATCGAGATGTGACACGTATCCTAGGAAGAGGAAAAAGAAAAAAAAAACAACCTACAGTCTAGTCAAACTAGTTCGGATCCGATCGCTATCTCATTTGATCTACCACACGAGATTATTCTAGATTATGATAGTGTTCTTGAAGACTTGATGCGACAACTTCTTAAGTTGATCCATCGCATGACACTTGAGTTAACAATTATTGTACCTGCTAAGAACTGACGACAACAACTGCCATCTCCGAATCAAGAAGACTTGATGCGACTACTTCTTAAGTTGTTCACACTCAAAGAGGGAGTGTTGTAAATACTATTATCAATTAGAAATGTGATTGTGGAAATAGAATTTGAAGATCAAATCCTTATTGGCTTTGTATTACTTGTAAGGTAAAAAAGTCCATCATGATTAGTATAAACAAAAAGTACAAGGCCAGTGATGAATATACAATTCTCACATACCCGAGCACCTCTCTCTCTCACCACCTCTCAAAGTTAGTTTTACAACAATCTGTATATTTTATATTTATATATTTCCAAAAAAGAAAGAAAATACATGATCATACATGTGGGTTGGCTGTTGTTAGTCCTAAATATATATACACATGAAGATCATTTCTGAATGAGTCGCTGCTGTGATGGGTCTTTTTGGGGTACCGTGAGAGCAGTAGAACGCTCTGACTCAGATGACTGGATGAGAATTTGCATGACAATTACAATAAGGACCAAGAATGTTGCTGAAAATGCAATGCCTTCCCATGAGGCTAGGAGGGCAGAGCATTGCACAAATTTGTAAATTCCATAGGCAAGGAGGATCGACCAAAGTATGACAACCTATATAATAGTAACAAGAAAATGTGAGTTAAGTCAGTTGGTCAAGAGAATGTATCCCATTCGGCTCCTTAATTGCAACTGACTTCGAAGCCTCTTCCTCCATAGATTAAAAGATAGAAAGAGGGAAATGGTAATTTGGTCAGTTAAAAGATCTTACAATTAAGGACTTGGTAGGTCTGCCAATGTTTTGAAGTTGTTGGTCACTGAATGAACCTTTGGCAAAGTACTTCTCCAATAAGGCATCCTGGTAGTTGGAGATTTTAAAAAAGAAGAACATAACATCAAATATATAGTCACGACGAAGGGCATTGTAGCTCAATCATTCACCCCTGGGCTCTAGGTCCTATGTTCGGTTCCGCTCGCACCAAATATTGCTTGTATGAAAAGTTTCACGCACGGGAAGATTCCAGATAAGAAGAGAAAAAGAAAAGAAAGGTTGCATCGATTACTATACCTTGGTAACAAACACATCTTTACACCATTGTCCAATTCCATCGGCCGTTTCTGGCAACTCCTGCATTGAGTGTCTCCTGATTTGTAATTTTAACTGCAACAATCGGAATTCCTTATAGTTAGCTGTTGTGCTAAGATAGCACCAAACCTTATGGAACCAACTCTTTATAACCCACAGGAAATATATCAAATGAAATGCAAGAACAAAATATTAAAGACACCAAGATTTTAACGAGGTTCCTCAACAGTCAGTGTAACTGGAGTACGTCCTCGGAGCAGTAAGAGCTCACCCAATAATCCACTATCAACCAAATGGGAGTT